AAAGGCATTAATAATGCTAGATGCTCAAATACCTTAGTGTTTGAGTTTGCAAGAGACTTTATATTCACCGTTATTAGTCTTTCTAATGAATTTCATCTCTACGAAAGATTGAAATGAGAATTTTGATTATTTGACATATAAGATTAATTTTAACTTATTGATCCTTATGTTCCCTGTAAACGTCAATCTTAAGAGAACAATAATCAATTTTAACCACTTTTTTATTTTTGTTATAATGCAAGAGATTTTCGAGTTTGGATTCCAAATTTACAAGAGTTTTGTTCTTAATAACTCTAAATTGCTCATGTCGTTAAATTAAATAAATGAAGGTAAAAATATTGATTTTCCAACAACACTTGAAACATATTTATATAAGATTCAAATTAGACCATTCAAAATTTTGACGTAATCTTAGCCATGTAATCTCCATTCATTGAAAGTAACTAAATAAAACAAGTTAAGCATAATTTTGCCTATCTAATTTTTTGAGTGTGAAAAATAGCTGGCATGTGAATACATACTGGATTTTTAAATAATCAATAGCTTAATTTCAAGCTTTTGATAATTTAGATTCGTTAATTTCATTGACTTTGAATTTGGGTTTGAGTTGTTCATCGCTTAATTTCAAGAAACGACGATGAATTGAGATTAATTTCAAGCATATGGTGAATCTGGATTTCGTTAATTTATTTGATAAATATGAATTTGAGTTGTTCATATAATTAACTCGATGAAGCTTTGAATCTGACGTAGAAGCTTTGGACCCTTTGTTTTATGATGATGGTAGGAACCTAGATTTTGGCTATTGTTTTAATTAATTACAAATGAAAAAAATTTCATTTTTTTAAAAATATTCAGGCTTTAGTTATGTATCCAGCAAATAAAGAAGAAATGATCAAGAAAATGAAGATCATATCAAAAATTCAGAAAATGTTTTTTAGTGATCGATTTTTTCATTGATAAATCTTTCACTAACATTTGATGTTACACGTCACTTTTCACGTGAGCAAAAATTGACGCTGTTATATGGAAAGGATTAACTTGATTCTGTTTGTGTAGTTAAAGAACTCAAATGATATTTTTTTTTAAATTAAAGAATTAAAATGGAAGTTTTTTCAAAAAATTGTAAAATTTTGGAGAGATAAATTATAAGAGGTTTGAAATTGATATTTTTTTTAATGTATGGGAGTGTCAGTCATGTGTAAGGTGTGTGTTCATATATGAGGTGCTAAGTATTTGAAAAATTTCCAAAAATAATCAATTTTTATAATTAAAATATTGAAATAATTATATTTTTGAAAAAATTACGTAAATAATCAGGTTTAGGATTTAAACAAAGTGGACACACCATCTCATATGACACATGTACATAAAAATGCATTTAGGCGTCATATGAGATGGCGCATGCATGCAATGTTTGTGAGGAAGCGCCATCTCATATGGTGCATGAGTGTATGTGCGTTTTCTATAAATAAAATTTCATTTCTCCACCATTTTTCACACATCTTCTCATTTTCTCTCTAATTTTTTCATCATGACATCTAACATGATTTTCACAAGAGATGAGTATGTTTGTTTCTCGGCTGTCAAATCCCTGATTAAAATGAAATTTTGAAACATCCATTCATGGAGCGTCTTAAGAGATAGTTGATCGGATGGTTAGACGGAAACATCCAAGATGGCGAAATCATTAGAAGAATTCAGAGACAAAGAACGGTCATCTCACTTGCAACCGAAAAACCTCAACGTTAGTGGGAGAATGTCAAAAATGACTGGGACGTAATGGTGATGATGCATGGATCAAATGAAATTATTTTCACAGTTGTGATTTCTTAGATATTTTATCATGTTAACTAATTTTATTCGTTGTATGTGTTGCTTTAGTCTTGATGAAATTTTATTTCTTGTTTGCGTTTGGTTTGTTGTAACCAATCTTCTTAATGAAAAAAAGTTCAGTTCAGATCTAAAAATAAATTACAAAGTGTGCATACAATTTTTATGTTGTCGAACTTGTAGTACGAGTGAGACAATTTTTTCGTGTGTGTCCGACCTAACGGTATATACCACACTTTCTTTCTAGCTTGTCAAACGCATATATTTCAATTGTAATACACTTGCTTTTAGGGCGATCCTTTTTGTTCCCTCGCATTTGGTCATTGTGCTAAACTATTTCCCTTCATATGCGGGTCACTAATTCTCTTTTGCTACCACTAGAAAGTCATTGTTGTATACGTTGATCAAAGTCTCGGTCTTGTAAGCGGGAGATAGAAGTGACACTGCATCTCGACGAGCATACGTACATGCCACAATGCCAAAAAAAGAAACGTCCACTCCCTCCGGCCATTATTATAAGCAAAGATTCTCTTTTTAGGTTCATTGAGTAATGAATGTATCTGGTCTACATAAAAGACCAGATACATTTATTATTCAATGAACCTAAAAATAGAATATTTTTTTATAATAATGGCCAGATGGAATACTTTTTATAGATGCACTTTCTTGCTCTAAGCATGGAGTTGGCGGATAATGGAGTCCCTTTCCCCATCAACAACAACGCCTTCATGTTCCCATATGCGACAAAGTAAGTCTATAATACTATTTCAATTTTCTCACTTTATATTAAATAACTTTAAATAATTTGTTTTATCTCTCATTGTTTTAGGTTTTGTGTAAGAGGGTTAGATTACAGCAAAAATCCTAAACGAAATATCGGTCTGTATCGCAATTTTTTGGATCACATTAGACCAAATGATGTATTACTACTAAACTATTCATCTTATAAGCAATTTATTTTTAAAGTTATCATGCTTATAATAATATTTTCTTTGTAGTTTATTTGAAGACCATATTTAGATCTGGAACATCAACCCAACCCTGGAGATGCAACAATTTGGATTGCAAAAACTGTGATTCAACATTGTGAAAATGCACCACATTGATCGTGTCAAAATACAGTTCGGCATGCATCAAGAAATCTCAACCCCCCAACATATTTGTCACCATGGCATCTTCGTAGAGTCGACGTCCAACGGACTTTTAACAGTGTGAAAGAATACACTCCAGAATAGTGTTTGATGTGGAAGAGGCGTGATTGTTATGCCTTAGAATTTACTGTCGCGTCCGGGAACCAAACAATGTGACACATAAAAGAATATATGAGTTGGTACATATCGATTACTAAGCCTAAAATGCTTGTGTATGACCCGAGGTATTTGATCGACCCATACACATTAGTTGCGTCCAACCACTACCCTACGACCAATACATGCCACATACCCAAACTCAATACCAAGAACATATACCATACAACCAACGATCTCATGTGGGTTCATCCACTTCTCACCTTAGCCCCGACTTAGGCCAACACGAGGAATATTCTCCCAACCTACCCAATATACATGCAACCATCACATCACTGTAGCACCCAACACACATATGGCTACCAAACTCCACAAATACAACAGATCTTCAGGATTTTGTGACCTGACGGATTACATGGATCCCGGTCGCATTGACCACGTAGGACCCTCGACCCAACCACAATAGAAACTTCGTAAATAGAACAAACTAGAAGAGGACAGGACACTTAAATTATATGTAATTTTTATTTCCACAATGTAATCATTTTATCAAATACAAATATTAATTTTTTTAATTTTATTTATAAATTATTTATTATTATTTAAATAAAAATAAATAAAAAATAAAAATACACATAGACACCATATGAGATAGCTTGTCAGATCTCACATAAACCTAGACACCATCTCATATGACGCATCAATTAAAATTTTAAATGCATGCGCCATTTCATTTGACGTGTCCTCTTATGTCATTTTTGAAACCTAGTAATTTGCAGTTTTTTTTTGAAAACCTGATTATTGATGTATTTTAATTTTGAAACATAATTATTGCTAAAAAAATTCCAAGTATTATCCTCTAATTTTTTATCACCATATTGTTTAAAATTCAATAAAAATATATTCTAAATTTATTGCATAATATAAAATTAAAATAGAACTAAAATCTAGTCAGGATTAAATTAGCCCCTAATGAAATGAAAATGTAGAAAATTAACTATTCCCCATTTAAAATAAATATATATGTATTTTTAATGTATGATAAAAATTAATTCTGAAATTGCACGGATAAAAAGTTCAGAAATTTTTAAATAAAAAAAGTTCAAAGATTGAATTAGACAAGATATGAAAAAAAAAAATTAAATATAACTGTCCCACATGTTTAAAAACTCTTATAGAAATCATTCTGCATTTTTTTAACACTTTAGGGGAAAAGAGTATTTCAACCATTTAATAATTTGACAGGTGTGTACAATCTGGTTTTTAAGATGAACAAGTAGACGACATGAAGAGGGGTAAATATAACTATTTAGGGTATGAACTTCTCTTATAAGATTGCCAAAAAAAAATCATGTGTACTTATTCTTTAGTAAGAACATCTATTCTTACGCTTCTCATTCTATTATCTATTTCTTGATGGTCCTTATTTTATTTCCTTCTGAATGTTTTTATCAGAAAAATGAAAAACCAAAGAAAGATCCAATGCGTAAGAATAGAAGGGGGAAAAAAAGCTTTTCAATGGGTAGCTCTACGGCTATGTAAAGCACATGCTAAAGTCATCTACGATAGTGGAGTATCCTGATATGCTATAACCCACAACCCTACTAATGATGACCGATAATGGAGATTCCTTTTCTAAATGAAATCATCTACGATAGAGACAATTACGGTAAAGGAGAAATTCTTCGCATATACACTTCGTGCTATTCTTAGCACATAAAATTTCAAAATAATAATATGCATCAACCAATTGAAGATTGCCTCATGTTTTATTTAGACAAAAAAACATTCACATGGTAAAAAACCCCCCAAACACTAATTAAATTGCAAGAGTTTCATCTCAAGAGTATCTATCATTTATGGCACCATATTTCATGACAAAGGTGAACCAATTAATTCAAAATCAATGAACAACTAAATTCAAGACTCACGGGACTTCACAATGAAATTCTGGCGACTAATAGGATTCATCACCACTGGTGGACCAGCAGTACGAGGCCATGCCTGAAACTTCTTGTCGGTCTCTTCAAACCACTTCTCGTTTGAAGCTGTCGCACACACAGAACCTGAAGAAAGAACTTGGAAGTTACATACAGCTGAAACAGCCACAACACAACACAAATCAATCCCTACAGAAATGCACAACTTACCTCCAAAAATCTTTTTGTCTGAAACATAATAATCACAGACCCATGCAACTCCAAATGTTGCAACTGTAGCACCTAAGATGTACTTCGCTGACATGATGAAAAATCAAACTGTATACATAAAAAAAAAATTAACTTCATTGAAATAATTAATTCCATAGAAATGGATAAAGAGAATGACTAAAGGAGAGCAGTATCTATCTCTTCACATAAAACAAAGAATGAAACTGACAAAAACGGTGACATCAACAATCCGGGCTCATTTCAGACAAAATTCCATTGGTACTAAAAGCATAAACCAAAACAACCGGTGTGGCAGGGAAACGAGATTCCTCTAATCCTATTTACTCACAAACATAACAATTAAAATCCCTTTGTTATTAAATCTCCATATAAGTCTCTTAATGCTCAACATCCAACCAACTAGGAACACAGTGATATTAGATTCCAACCCCGACTAGGAACACAGTGATATTAGATTCCAACCCCGACTAGGAACACAGTGATATTAGATTCCAACCCCGACTAGGAAAACAGTGATATTAGATTTCAATCCATACATGCAGAAATATAAACAAGAGTTAACGGTTACGTAAGTTCATTCAAATAAATCTACAGTTGCTCCAAATCTTAATATTAACTAGATTATTTTTAGAACATGACGATATAAACATACAATGGAATTTGAGATAATCATGAAAGTGTAAAAGGGTTTTGCAGTCTCATTGTATATCAATTAAATAAATGATATATCTTAACAGTTAAATAAATGATATATCCTAGGCATAGTCAAGGTACCCATTTGACAACCCTTATATTGATGTGAACATTTCTAGATCTTTCCAGAAACAAAAACATTAATTAATATAATTAATGAACTATGGATTGTGTACAAACAACAAAGTACAAAACAAAGCCATAACAAAATTGATTGGAATATTTTTTACTGAATAAATTAAGACACTAATTTACACAATAATAAAAAATTGGAACCTAATATAGATCAGATTGAATTGAGAATCAAGAAAGGGAATCAAAATTGCACAAAAATCCAACTCAAAATTTGATTAACCTAAGTTCCAATAACAATTAGATACAAAATTGGCAGAATCAAATTATAGAAAAATAAATTCAAAAAATCGAGAGGAAAAATAAAACTAAACCTAAATTTGAAACGGAGAGTAAGAATTGGGGCTATTCGTTTTGCATAGAATCGAAGCAATCAAGACGAATAACAATAGTGTGAAACGAAATAGGATTTGATCGGTGAAACCAAATAATAGTTAGATAATTGAGAGAAAGGATCGAAAAAACGTAGAGAGAAGATTGTTAGGATTAGGGTTAGGGTTTCGTACCTGAAGCTTGAGATCTATTTGATTTGTGCAATGATGCAAAATGAAGAAATGGCAGAGAAACGCGACTTCTACTACTCCGAAAGAGCCAGAAACGGTGCTAGTAGTTTTAGATTTTATAATTGATTGGGCTTATCAACTTGGCCCGTTAATCTATCATTAACAAACGTTTAGATATTTGCTATTTGCACCCAACTAGATTTCAATCAGTGGATTAATTGAAAGGGTAATACTAACATGTTAGGCTAATTGAAATGGAATAATGTATATAAAGAATATTAATCATAGCACAAGTTAGGGTAAAAATAAATTAGTATTAATATGAAGTGACATGAAGCAATACAAAAATTAAAAGGAGCATTTGGCTATATTTACAACTTCTTCCAATAAAAGCTACAAAAATTATCTATTTGGAACTAAATCCATTATTTTAAAAGATTAATTAAAGTTTTTCGGTTATTTTAATTTTAAAATATTGTTTTACCTCAATTATCAAGAGAGTTTGATAAGCCTTTCCTCTTTAAAGAAAACACCAATATAATATGGTGTGTTCTTCTCTATGTATTGTTAGATGCGAGAGTTGGTTTAAACAACGAAATAGATATGTACACCACAGACGCATCTATTTAACCTACAATGAGGTTAGCTGATCACTGAAGATAAGAGATGTTGAGATCATTCTCAACGGAAAGCTTTTAATCAGATTTAGTTTGCGAACCAAATCGACGAACCAACCTAGATCGAGATTTTTTCATAGAATTATCTCGAACCAAGGTGAGATTTTGAATCTGACTGAACTCGTGAACCGAACTGAGGTTTTCCCCAGACTAACCATGAGTCATTAAGATTTTAAACCATACTTATCTTAAACCAAAGTAAACTTTTAATCAGGATGAGCTTACGAATCGAACCGAGGTTGTTATCAGGATAAGCATAAACCAAGTTAAAATTTTGAGCCAGGGTGATCTCGAACCAAAGAAAGCTTTTAAGCAAACTTAACTTATGAACCGAACCAACGACTTAGAACCTAAATCCCCAAACCAAAGTTTTTAAAGGGCTTGGCTTTTAACCCAAACAAACACTCCTTTATGATAAATTATTCAACCAAAATAAAATACCCTTTGGTTAATTTACAACAATGCCCTTTCCATAATACAAAATTTCTCACTAAACAAAAGGATTTTCTCGAAGCGTCGCGGTTAAAATTATGTGAGATAGAAAGCTCACGTTTCTAGATGTGAAATTGTGAATGGAAGAGCCTTTATTTATAGGCTAGAGAGTGGTACAAAAATGAATTTTTCTTTGGCTAAAATTGATAAGCCAATCGATTGGAATGCCTCAAAATAAACCGTTTAGGATGTTTAAAAGGGAAAGAAATGATATAGAGTTATTGCCCTTCTTTAAGAAGTTGTCCTAAAATTTTAAGGACATTTTTTGCACTAACCCAATTGATTAGATATGAGTGTCAATCGATTAAACAATATAATTTTTGTTCAAAACTATTCAAACAGTTCCCGATTCAACCGACACGACTCTAAAATATTTTTAGAGATATTTTCTTTAAGACATATAGGCTTAAAAAATTGTTTTGTGTGTACTTTATCCATATAATTTTGCAAAAAAAGTCTTTGTTTTTTTACAAAGCATAATTCACTCATACACGATAGGGAGAGCTTTTACACTTCCCCTTTATCACACTTCGAAGCTTCAAGACTTTTCAAGTAAACCAATCAAATAGATACTTGTATGAATCTTCTTGGAGATGAGGCTTTAGATTCTATTCAATTTAAGTACCATCACCAGAGGATGTTTGCAGTGATCACCAAATCCTAACTTGTCTTCTTGCATTTTTAATTGCTTGTGTTTATTGAATCCTCGTATAGGTTCTATTATCAAATACTCCTTTTAGTTGTCATCGCCAAAAGTGCATTATCGAGAGCTTTTTTATTACCTTTAAAACATGGTTCGACAATCTCTATCAAGTTGATAAGTAAGTGTCAAAAGTGTATATATATATATATATATATATATATATATATATATATATATATATATATATATATATATATATATATATATATATATATATATATATATATATATATATATATATATATATATATATATATATATATATATATATATATATATATATATATATATATATATATATATATATATATATATATATATATATATATATATATATATATATATATATATATATATATATATATATATATACTCAACCATTTTTTTACTCATTCACCTAGTTAAAAAAACATAAAATTAAAAACATTCATCAACAATTCCTCCTCGTAGAAACAAATTTATGAAAACATGCGATATAATTGTGCACTTACAGAATTATGAGATAAGGTATTAAGTAAGAGAAAATTAGAATATATGAGTATAAAATAAGTGAGATGAAGGATAAACTTGTATTTTTCACAATTTATCTGGATCTTTCTATGTACATTGTATCCCTTTGAATAATAATCTCATCAATGTGTTAGTGTGTGAGACACTCTTAGTGAGGAGAGAAAAAGAGAGAGAATGAAGAATAATAGGAGAAACTATTGTATTGAAAAGTTGTTATTAAACTGAATTACAATGTATGCAACTATTGATATACAACTATGTTACTTATATACTAAGTAACAAACCTTAATCATAACTAAGTTAGACTTGAACTACACAACTTAGATTTTATTACAACATACCCCCTTATAATCCAAATTGTCGAACACAAACTAATCATAGTCGATCTGAACTATTCCTAATTTCTTTCTCAATTTTAGAAATTTGTCAATCTTCAACCCTTTGATGAAAATATCGGCCAACTGTACTTCACTCGAGCAATGTCTCGCGTCAAGTTCCCTTTGGTTTACCTTCTCCCTTAGGAAATGAAACATAACCTCAACGTGCTTGCTCCTACCATGCAAAATTAGATTCTTTGCAAGATTTATGGCTAACTTGTTATTGGTCTGCAACACCTGAGGTTTCTTCACTTTGACCTCCATCTCTTCCAGCACAGATCTGATCTATATTACTTGACATGCAGCATATGATCCTGTTATATATACAACCTCACACGATGATTTTTCTGCCACGGGTTACTTTCTAGAGAACCATGAGATTGGGGAACCAAAGACTTGAATAAAATAATCAATTGTGCTTCTTCGATCTTACTTATCTCCACACCAATCAACATTTGAATAGCAAGTAATTGTAGTTCCCACTACTACAAAAAGTGTTTTTAACCTCGGATGCAAAATGCGTTTTACTTTGGCTATAAAGCGAGATAACGAAGGGCGTCATAAAAAAGTAACGACTTAACACATTGGTTTTTAAAATACCGAGAGGTAAAATTATTTGCGCATGGGTTCGAACCCCATCATCTGCACTTTTACTATTTTCAATACTAATGCTTCATATATCTCAATTTATCAATAAAACCGAGGGGTAAATTAGTTTTTTTAAAATTAAAACTCGTTACATTGTTTACACAGAAAATTAATAAAATAATTTGCTTACAAACAATATTGCTTACCTAGAACATTACATTGTTTATACAAAAAAAATTGATTTCCCCAAGATATAGATTTTATATATTTGAATCATATAATTATGGGGAAGATCAAATGATGGGTGCACAATATTCTCTATGGCTTTTGCTTGCATTTTTTATGATATGAACAAAAAAAGTTTTAGAAAAATAAATATTTAAGAACACAAATCTTAA